CATGCTACTGCAGCAGGAAGAAAGCGGCCATAAGAGAGCTGTCCTGTATCATAAACCCTGATCTATAAACCCTAATATCTAAACCCTAAAACTAGACACATTATTAAGAAAGAACAGCAGCAGTAAATCATGACCAAGGGGCCCCCCTGCTGCTGTTGGGGGCCGTTTGCTGCTGCTGCGGCGCGCTACTGCTGTGGTTGGGGGGCCCCCTACAAGAGAGAAAGAGAGAGCACAAGGGTTATATGGACAATAATAATAGCATAAATTATGATTATATAATTAAATTATGAATAAAAAGAATAAAATAAACAAAAAATATCCATTAAACATGTAGATTTACCCTGTAGCTGTGTCTGTTTCCTCTCTTCTCTTGGCTAAGAAAGCTGCACAGCACGCAACCCGTGTGCAGCAGCTCCTCTGAGGTGTACGTCCACCTCTTTATGACGATTAATCTTATTATTAATTAAATTAATTAATTCATTTGTTTATTTTTTGACTTCTTGCACCATTGTCCTGATTCAGCTGTAGCCAGCCAGCAACAGAAGTGCCTTATACAGCATCGTACAGCAGCAGCAGCAACAGCAGCAGCAGCAGCACCGCAGGGGTCCAACCGAGGGTTTATATGAGGGTTTAGGGTTTAAGAAAAAGCTTAAAATATATAAAATATTATTTTTTATTTATTTACCTCCTGTATAACACGCAACACGAGGCCCCTAGGCAGCAACAATACCCAGGGCCCCCCGTGGCCTCGGGGGCGCCAATCTTGCCTCATAACGTCTGGTGCTGCAGGGACTGTTGCAAGCAGCAGCAACAATAGCAGCAGCAACAGCAGCAGCAGCATCAGCAGCAGCAGTAGGTGCAGCAGCTGCAGCACCATCAGCAGCTGCAGCAGACGCAGAAGGCGGAGGTGCACTTTCTCCACTATAAAGAACAAGAACAGCAACAATAACAGCAACAGCTACACCAACAGCAGCAACACCCCTAACAGCAGCAGCAACAACAGCAGCAATAGCAGCAGCAGGAGCAGCAGCAACAGCAGCAGCAGCAACAGCAGAATAAAGATGAATAATGACTTAGAGGCCCCATTAAGTCCTGAGGTACCTCTTGTTGCCTCGGGCACAAAAGATGATAAAAATATGAATTCTTTCTGTCTTCCTGCCCCTCTGCAGCAGCAGCAGCAGCAGCAGCAACAGCAGCAACAGCAGCAGCAACAAGAAGAAGAAGAAGAAGAAGAATTATATAGAGGAGGGGAAGGAGACGAAGAAAGTAGTGGCCTACAATACCAACATGAGGCATTAGATATATCACCAGATATAATGCATGCGCATGCAGCCCCATTATTATTTTATCCTCCTCCTTATAATTCCTTATTACGTCTTTTTTTTTTATTTTTTATTTCTTCTTCCCCTTTTTTTTGTATGATTATATTTATACAAATTATTAATAATATACCTGCTGCTATGTTAGTTATGCATTGGGTATGCATGCTCTTCCTTCCTGCGGTGTATATACACTTCGTTAGTGATGGTTGGGCATATTATAAGCATGTATATTTATGTCAGGGGCCCCTAGCTGGGGGCCCTTATGGGGGCCCTTATGGGGGCCCCTATGAGGGGGGCCCTATAGGGGACCCAAATACCCCAAACGACGATGGGGGCCCCTCCATTCATGATGAGAGGGGCCCCTCTAATCATGATGAGAGGGGCCCCTCTAATAATCATGAGAGGGGCCCCTCAAATCATGATGGGGGCCCCTCATCGTGTATAAGAAGAAGACCAATATGTGGTAGATGGAGGTACCAGGGGCCCTGGGCCCTATTAGGATTAATAGGGGGGGCCCTATTTATGTATATAGG